TACATTATTTAATTTTAAAATTGACTAGGATTTAAGAAGTAATTAAACCAAAATAAAACATTACAAAATTCTGTGCTCAACAGTCTCATTAGGAGAGATATTAAGAGACATCATCGTAGCAAACAAAAAGGCTTCAATCATCAAGAAGAAAACAAGGAAGAAGAAGACAAAAACCGGAATAAGATTTCGACATTGTTCATCGGTTGGGAAAAGACAATGAGAAAAAACACAACATGAAACAGAAAAAAAGAAAAAAATCGAAGGCTTTAAAATTATGAAAAATTAAAAATCTGGGTGATACCTGGGAAGATGGCAGCCATGGGGTTGCCATCGCCATTTCTGATACTCAGTGTCCGGTCTCCCATGTTCTTGACACGTCAGCTGCGGCTGTATGTAGGGACATTCCGATTCTTGATAGTGAGGCCGAGTCAATACGTCCCTGACCCACCTTCCGCTGAATATATCACACCCTTCTTCTCCCTTCCCCACTGCAAACGGCAACTTGTATTCCTCTCTTTTCTTTACTAACTCCAAACCGACCAAAACTGAGTTAAGAGACTAAGGGTAGAAAGAAAAAAGAGAGTGACTGAGTCGCGTAGAAATTCAAACTCACCTGGTGTCGAGGAGGTAACTCGGGTGGGCTAAAGCGGGGAAAAAGTGCGGACGGAGTATTCTCCATGGATGATAGCTACGAGAAGAATGAAAGCTAAGAGAGTGTAGAGAGACGAGCTTTTCGAACACCACCAGAGAAAAAAGAAGTACGTGGTGGTGCCTTCATTTTTTTTTCTTACATCAAAAACACAAACTGTTTTCTGCCATTTTCGACTGGATTTGGTCTGGGAATCTGAACAATCTTCAAAAGGTTTATAGGAAGATTGAGGTTTTTGATTCATCAACAATCAATGTTATTGGACACTATGTAGAAATAGTTAGAGTAAACTACATACTATCAGTTGTATCGTTTATATCATTAAACTTTTAATTTTGTCAATTATAACATTTAATTTGATTTTCGTTTCGATTATACCATCAAACCATTAAATCATTAACAACTAGATCAAAACGATGTTGTTTTGGGGAGTTGTCTATTTTGACAGTCGTCATCCATGTCGGCAGTCGGCAGCCACATCATTGTGTTGTTAACAATTTAACGGTGCAGTAGTATAATTGAAACGAAAATCAGAATTCAGTGATATAATTAGAAAAATTGAAAGTTCAGTGGTATAAAAGATACAATGCCTAAAGTTTGGTGATATCTGGTGTAATTTACCCAAATAGTTACTTTGATGAATGCTATATCATTCATAAAAAGGTGGATTTTTTGGTCCCTTTATTTCTCTAAAATTTAAGATCTAATCTCTATATTTTTATTTTATATAATTTAATTCTTCTATATTTCTAATATATTAGTTCATCCAAATTGTTAACATCGCTATTAAAATGGTAATATGATTTTAAAAAAATAACTTTAAGCATTATTTTTTTATTAAAAATAATAACATTCAATTAATCGTATAATTTCCCCCCAAAACTTCACATCAACACTTAATTAGAATGACTAAATCGGGACTAAATAATAATATTATAAAAGTAAAATGATCAAATATTTTTATAATAAAATTACTGAATTTTACTATTGTAAAGGGGCCAAAATTGTAGTTTAACCTTTTCAAAATAACACAAAGAGATTTGATTGGTTGCACATGATCACCAAGTCATACATTTCTGTTTGATTGTTGCAGGTTGCAATTTGTGGGTATTTTTATTTAACTTTTTTTTTTGTAATTATTTGGGAAGAAATATCTTTCTTAACTATTTATAATATACACATTGTAAAAATAATTGTTCGAACCTAACATTTTTAGGGAGAAAAACATTCTTTTTAATTATTGAAATCGAGTTCTAATACATATTTGTGTTTGGAGTGTAGGGAAAGTGAATAGCATTTGACTTGGGCTTATAAGCTAAAGATGTCCCCATTAACAAGAATAGTTTTGATTTAGGTGATGGTTTGTTAGCATTTCGCTCTCTCTTTTGTTGGCCTTTAATTGTTTCTTTTTCTTTGTTACTCTAAATCTTCAACAAGGAAGTAGGCGATGATGAGCAACCCGATTGGAATGCATCAACTTCCATATACGTATTTTCTACCTAATTACTTAATTATTTTTAAAGATACTCTACATGTTATATTACTATGTTGATGTTGATGGGCACGAAACACAGACTCGGGGGCTGCGACATGTGGTGGAGTCATTCGAGATGCAAATAACAAGTGGATCAAGGGCTATACAAAAACGATTGAGTATTGTTTAGTATTGGATGCAGAACTATGGGGAGTATATATAGGTTTGGAGATTGCCTGGAGCTTAAGATTAAAGATTGTTTTCGGTAATTAGTAGTGGAAAAATAATCCAGACCAAAAATAATGTTTTCGGTTTAACGCTACTTAAAATATTATTGTTTGACCTGATTTTTTCTACCACTACTAATTACCGAAAACAGTCTTTAATCTTAAGCTCCAGGCAATCTCCAAACCTATATATACTCCCCATAGTTCTGCATCCAATACTAAACAATACTCAATCGTTTTTGTATAGCCCTTGATCCACTATGTATTAAAAAATGAGCAATATATTGCATATATAGGTTTTTTTTCTATCCACATTTCGATGTATTAAAAAATGATATTTATTTATATTTTTTTTGAATACAAAGGTAGCTAGAACGTTAAAATTAAACCATCAGGGATATCTTAATTCCCATGCAGCAGTGTAGATAGAGCAGTGGGTGGCTGATCAAAGCTAGACGTGCCTCACGGGAGTGACCAAGCTCATTTGTCCATAGCATCCGCCACTCTATTCCCTTCTCGCGGCACATGGCCAAATCGGAGTTGTCGGTCGCGTGCTATAATATCAACCACATGAGGAATTATATGGGAGGGACCATCCATTGGTTTTCCTTGTCGAAAAAAAGTCGTCAACTTCTTTGCAATCTGTCTCAAAAATGATGTTTCACAATCCTATGTTCCAAGCCATGGTTAAGCCTTCGAGCACGCTCCATAGTTCCGCGTCTAGAACTGTGCATCCCCCTAGTGATTTTGAGAATCCTGATATCCATCTCTCTTCTGAATCTCGTATTGTACCCCCGCAAGTTGCCAATTCTGTCGTTGGGTTTCGAGCTTCATCTGTATTCAGCTTATACCATCCCTGAGGGGGAAGGGGGGGTAGACTCCCATTGGTGGTAGTACGATCCAGTCGTAAAGCCGCCGTTCGCCACAGGTTGTTAAGTTCAGCTGCATTAGCTGCCTCCGAACATAGCCGCACGCTGTAGAACACACTCGTCATCTACGCTATCTGGTTCGAAATTCCTTTGTCCCTTCGGGTCCACAGGTACCATAAGATTGATCCAAACATCGTGTCACATTCATCCTCTTTGATCGGGAAGCGGTTATATATTTTTTTATTTTAACTAAACTAAATATAAAACCAAACTCAGAATGGTTGTTAAATCGGTGAGATTACAATTTCTGATTAATCCAATTCAACTGTCAGTTTGATGATTTAAATGCACTAATAAAAAGTATTAAAACTAATAAAAATAAGAAAATTCATCAAAAAGAATTTCATAACATATTCAATCAGTCGAATCACCGATTTTTTGTCTTGGTTTTCAAATTTTACCTCTTCAGGAGACTAACGATTTCCAGTTCAACTAATCGTCACATTCTAACAACACTTCCCCTTTCATATTTAAATAAAAAAAATAACCATCCAAGGAATAGGACCATTTACAATATCCAAAGAAAAAGCTGTACATAATGAGTATATAATGGCATAATAACGCTATGCCACCCAAAATGAAAACAAGAAACATACGAAGAAATTAGTTGTGCGTGTGGGGATGGGCACGGCACTGACCTTGTGAGTTCCGAACCAACCCAATTTGATTGGATCAGATTTTTTTTAAAAGAAACCAAATTTGAGTCAAATCAGATTTTTTAAAGAGAAGTTTGAGTCAGGTTTAAGGTAAAAAACATCTAATCCGACTCAAAAAATAATATAATTTTATCTTATATATTTATGGATAATTACAGTAATACCTCTTTCTATATTACTTTTTTTTTGGATTAAATCCTTATTTTATTAAATAAAATTATTACTTTTTATATATATTTATTTCTGGTCGGGTTCCGGTTTTATCTCAAAAACTCATGTCAAGTGAAATCACCCTAAACTCGAGTTGGATCAAGTCCGGATGGAGGAGATCTATTTTCGAGTCAAATCGTGTTGGCCGAAAATCCAACTAAACCCGACCTATGCACAGGCATGTGTTTTAAATTTTTTGCAAAAGGCCTTCAGCTCTAATTGCATTATATAAATATTTGGTCAAATCCTATCATTAGTCCCTATATATATAAATGTTATGTATTTAATCTATCTACTTTAATTTGATCAATTTTAATCCTTGTATTCAAGAGCAAATCTTGGATTTTTTTAGAAGAGGCCAGGAGTAAACTATAAATGTTTGAAATGCCAAAATATAAGCTTATTATTACTTCACCTTATAATTTCTAAGGGGACCAGACTGAAACTCCATCGATTTTGAGGGTCAAAATAAAATTTCATCATAACTTTATAATTTCACCATTTAGGTCATGACCATCGCCAACCCCCTTATCCCTACCCCTACTTTCTAAATTTTGTAATTTCAGTCCTGACCTAAAAATAGCAGGCCAATATGGTTAAATTAAATGAACTTAAAGTGATTAAATCGGAGAACAAAAGTTAAATCTACAACTTACGCAGTCATTAGATTTCACGGCTACTGAAATTTCAAAATTCAAAAAGCACATGGACTAAAAATGATCAAATTGAAGTATAGGAATTAAGAACTAAATCCACAACTTAAGCATAGTAAATGGAACATTTGTAATTCCATGTAATATTTGAAGTTTAACATCATATAATCTAGATATTTAGTTGTCTAACACAGTCAATAAGGGAAAATGAAGTTTCTACTATTGGTTAGGTGTTCTTGTGTAACTACTCATTCTACACACAAAAATTTTCAACTTCGATGAAAAAAAAATCAAGTGAAATCAGAAAGATTAAGCGGGAGAAAATGTGTAATGTGGGAGGTCAGATCACCGGAAAACCATTCCCGAAACAATCTTTCGCAGTTTTGCACTGACTTGGCAAAGGTTCATGACTGAGCTATTGCAAAACCGGTTTAGACTAACATGGAACAAAATTGCAACTGCTCAAAAATTGACTTGAGAATAGGAGCCTCCTTGACTGGCCGAAGGTCCTCTAAACTGCAGCACCAGAGAAGATACATACATCTGCAAGAACGATAACGTATATCATATGATTGTAAGACTAGTAGGTTTTGGCTCATTTTATTACCGACTAACAAGAAGATACCTGTGTTCTATGTGGTAAGCTGATCCAGAAATCCAAGTTCGGAATTGCCTGAAGAAAGCAGAGCAAGGACATAACAAAAGTTAGGAGAATGGTCGGTCGACTGAGGCAAGCCAAAGTCCCAACTTTAACATAGAAAGAAAGAAAAGGAAGAAAACAGATAGCTTCAGAGAAAACTTACGTCTATACCATGAACTTCAAGGAAAAAATATCGATAAACAGTACCAGAAAGCATATAGGCTCCAAAGAGGCATATGATACTAGAGATAAAAACACCAGTCAATCAAGAGAATGTTATAGATTATTATTATTATTACTTATTAATATCATTATTGTTGATGTAAAAACCCTCACAAGCTCAGCAAGGTACCAAACCAACCAAACCCTTTCCCATGAATGGATATGATTGTTGCACAAGCCGAAGGATGTCGCAGCATTGTTGCCTATCAAAATTAACAAAACAAACTTTAAAACACCACGCAGCGTTGTGGCCTATCAAAATTAACAAAACAAACTTTGAAACACCAAGATGACAACTAACGGGGACCTAGAGGGGGGCGGTCGCCCCCCCCCCCTAAAAATTTTAAATTCCTATATAATTTAGATATTTTCTTTGTATTTTTTGTTGAAAATCTGTTTTCTCCCCCCTAAAATTTTATAAGTTCGTCTTCCCTTTAAATTTTTATAAGTTTGCCCCCTCTAACATAAAATCCTGCATCCATCTAACCCCCTTGTCAAATATTAGAAACAAAAAGTTATCAACATAATTGACATGGAAATTTGTACTACGTAAGAATCATCAAGCTCAAGAAAAAGTAAGCATCCTCATATTTATCAAATGGAAGCTATATTCCTTTCTTCTATAAACATTATGAACCTGGCAGAGCACTCCTATTCTGCCTCACCTGCTACAAAAAGTTTTTGTTTACCCAGACAGGTTAATAAAAAATAAACTAAACCTCAATTATTCTATGGTACTTGAGCTTCAACGCAAATAACCTTACTATAACTAGGATAAAAGGTACCTAGTGTTCCAAGTGTTGTGGCAATTACTCTAACCCTTTCCAAATGTTTGGTTAAAAATATTTTAAAGTATATCAACGTCAGAAACTAAGTTTCGTAGAAACTTACATATTCACAAGTCCCCAGTTTCTCCATTGAATTTGGCCCCTGTTCAGCAGAATTGTATATTAGGTATATATCATAATATAGGTATTTTGCAACTGCACAGAGTTTTTACTTTAGCACAAACATTGTGGAAAATGCTCTTACTTGAGCTCCAGCTGAATCACAAAGCAATGAGACAGAGAGTGAACAATTGTGCTTTTTTCCACTGCTTGACATTCTAACAATGACACCTTTGAAAGGATTCAGCTTGTCTGTCATGTATAAGGTTGTAGAACAGTCACTATCACCAAACTGCATTTATACAAAAAATAGAAAATCGACTTTCTCCTCATAGCATGGCACCATGGAAAGAGTAAGCAACCAAACACACAAAGGAAAACTGCCGTTACAAGCTATGTTTGTTAAATATGCATCCAAGGCTTAGCCATAGAAAGAATCGCCACTTTGAGAGGTAAAGTCAAGTGTTAGTCTTATTTACTAAGATATGGGTCATACTAGAAAGACGCCTAGTAATAAGAGGTATGTTTCACTTGCCAAGGATGCTAACATCTGTGCTTGAAACATGTCCAATAGTAGTACATACGTGATAACCTGCATAAACCACAGAGGTTCAATCAGAATTTTATAATTAAATGTACTGCATTTGTTTTTCTTTCAGAAAAGGGAAGAAGCAAGGAAGGAAAATCTTAGGTTATATGCATATGAAAGTCTGTAATATGTTGCTAATAACGCAAATATAGAAATGTACTATAAATTTTTATCCACTAGAAATGCAAATGAGAAGTAGCAATGCGCTCCAAAGAGAAAGAAAATTATATGTATTTTTAATACTCTTTTTTGTCAGACTAATAGGCTAAAGTGTTAGAAAAAAACAATTAGGAATTAAGTGAGAAAGCCAAAGCACAAAAATTGAACAATAAATGAGAAAACATTTGTTAACAAAACTCTAATAAAAATGCGATTACATCTGATAATGATTGAGAAATTAATTGTCAAGAACCAGTAATTATGAAGTTAAAATTTATCATATTGAAGAATAGTAATCAGTTATAACTAGTAAACAAAGGAAACACTAACTAAATTCAAGAAAATCAACAAAGATGTTTAACCTCCAGAACGTTCAGCCACCAGTGCACTACATTCCGTTCCACAATGTGATGGGCCACCACAGTCCTGAAATATCATAAGACAATCAAATAAAAGAAGAGGAAAGCCCGTCAATGATGACTGCATTGTATTCTGGATCCTTTCATAGTCAGCATGTAAACAATAAAACTCAGATAAATTAAAGAAGCAATTACCGAGCACTCAGCACATCTAGGTGGATCATGGTTAAAAATCATTCCACCACAAAGCTGTTCCATTGAGTCAATGAAAAAAAGCCAATAAGAAATAAGCTAAATGTATAGGGAAAGGCATCATATACTTGCTTTAATAAGCTAAGTTCTTGAGAGTAAACAACCAACAGGTATTTAAAAGCATACTTCAGTAGTAATAACCACATCTGAATCCACATAAAAAGTTCATACTTCAAAGGAAAACCTAAAGAAAGCAATGATTCTTAAAACAATGTAATAAAATGTAACCTGATGGAGCCAACCTGAAACCAGAGCACAGTATCATTCACTGCCACCTTGTAAAACCTAGCATAGTTAAACAAAACAAAAATTGTTTCAATAAAAATGGAAGACGATCTAATTGAGATACGTAGGCTTCCAATCAAACATAGATAATGTGCAATGCAAAACAATTTCCAAAACAACAAAAATTTTCACACTCCAAACAGACCTAAAGTAACTAAACTAATCAAACAAGTATATAAGCGTAATAATAGTACCTAATCAACTATGACTGGATGCAACTCAGGCAAACACCGTTTTCTTCTAAATCAAATTCATAATCAACTTTAAATAGAATACAAACTTTAATCAAATCGCAGATTAGGAATTCCACTCCTTGATAAGCTAATTATACCAACTTGCACCAAACAAATAAAATGAAATACTCTAAATTAGTATAGTGCATACATAAAAAAAAGGAATTACCAAAATTTTCAACAACCCTCTCCCCTACACTAAAAACGAGAAATATATATCTATGTATATATAACACAGCCTTCTCTACCTAAATTCAATTTAAAAAGAAACTTAATATATATGAGAGATACTTAGATCAGGGAAAAGAGAGGGAATTTTGTGAGTTACCCGTCTTCGCTGAGGACGCCGTGAGGGAAACTAGTAAGAGGAGAAGCCAAGGTGAAGTTGTAGATCTTGTCGCTGTCAATGAAGCTGTGCTCGCATATCCCGAAGACTGGGTTAACTCGAAGTTGAATCGTCAAGAGAAAAATCACGAGAAGAAGCAATCTCCGAGATTCATTTCCCATTATCATTTTATTAGCTAAAAAATAATTATTAATTCTCTAATTTCTATGATTCCTGAATTTCCTCCGATTTTGTGTAATTTTTAAGCTATTTATCGTCGATGAAATTCAAGAAAAAAATGGACAAAAAATACACTAGAGAGTGAAACGAATACAAAGCCGGACCGAAGGAGACAAGCAGGAATGAAGCTTCTTCGCTGCAACCAATAGGAAATTTAAACTTTGAATTAATTGCACAATCTCATCTAATATTTTTTACTAATTATATTTTGACCCCTTTAATTTAAGTAGTCTAGCTGTGGCCACCCAACCCAAAGCTTTGAGTAGAGATACGACGTCGGTTTGAGGTTCTATTTGAAACATTAAACAATTAGTTGAATGAACAGAATAAAGGTTTCTTTGATATTTGTGATGGAATCTTTGCTAATTATTTGTGGGAGGTATTGTCCTTTGATTCACCATCAATTTCAAGTACCTATGTCTACTTTTATGTACATTGCAGGACTATGCGAAGCAGTCGGCAATGGTACAAAGCTCAGCGTCTACATGGGGATAGACGTATTCGGAAGGGGAACATATGGTGGCATGTCCAAGTTACTGCAAAATAATCAATTTATCATATATGCATTCATCGTCTGCGTAAATATACCCATGACTTGCTGCTTTACATTGTAGGCTATCGCCGGGTGACCGATAATGATAGTGTCCGATAATCCTTATCTTCAGGTAAAACCAGAAGGTAACTCTCAAGTGGACCTTTCTCTCGAATTCTCTTCTGAAACAGAAGGGAAAAAGAAGTTGCTTGTTGCATCCCAGGGTACAAACCTGTTTTCAAGCCAATTTAGGGAAGTGATCGACTTCCAACACCGGACAATGCTCCAGGATGGGTCATACAAGAGGTCAGTGGCGGACACATTATGCCCTGGCCAAGTGCATTCCCATTATTTTGGAAATGTGGTTAAATTTAACTTAATTGATAAGGAAAAAAGAAAAAAATTATAATTTTTGCATACCCATTATTTTTTAAAAAAATAAAATTAAAATTTTGGACATCCATTCTTAAATTTCTGGATCCGCCACTACAAGAGGTTAGCATGGCAGAAACCCATGCCCTATAATACAAGCAACAGCCTGAAACTACAAATGCACCAGACCACAATACTTTGCTCTGCTCGGACTTATTAAGATTTCAACTTCGGACAAGAATACAGAGTTCCCTTCATCTTACACAATATTTGATACCTATATTTCCAAATGAATCGAATTTAAACAATTATATATAATGTTGATATAATATAAGTGATGACTCCAAGCATCTATACCTCTCTATATCAGAGACGTTCCTAAACTTGGGCTCTCAAACATAATCTGAAAGCTTGCTGCCATTTCATAATCATTTTTATTATTTAACTGATTAATGAAAATAAATTCCTTCATTGTAATTTATAAATTATAATATTTTTTCTTATAAAATAAATCCAAACGAAATATATAAAATTATTTATTCATGATTGGAGAAAATTCATTACAGAAGTTATTGGAAAATGTATGTGAACATGGAATTTATTAAAGTAGAAAAGCCCCATAATCTTTTTTCAACATTCAAGTGATGATTGAGTCCCCCCATCACAATCACTCTGACCTTTTGTGTATTTAAGCAAAGTGCTTATAAAAAAAATTATTCTAATTCGATGACTTAGACAAGATAAAAAGAGAGAATATTGTTTAAAAATCAAACAAATCTAATCTAAAACAAGGAAAAATGAACCAAATTTTTATCTCGATCCTATTTTTTTTGGGTTCATATTAGAATTTGATGCTTTTTTAATTCGATAATTAAATATAAATTTTTAATTTTTTAATAGCATGATAAAAAGAAATACATAAAAATATTATAAATTTTGAATTATCGTATCATAGTAAATATGAAATCAATAAATATTTTAAAAGATTCATGAATGTTGTTCCCACCGTATCTCATTATGTCCCCTTATAAATAAGTTGAAATCACAGTTGTCGTTTAATGTCCTTACCAATGAAGTTTCTCAGGGATGGCAGAATGACCCGAACCCGATGGGGAAATTCGAAACCCGGTTAAGTTCGGTCGGGTATGGGGGATTTTTTCGGATCGGGTTTGAGACGGGGCAAGGTATCCCCGCCCCGCCCAGATTATATATATATATATATATATTAATTATATATATATAATATTTTATATTTTTATATTAATTATTTATATAATATATTCGGGTTCGAGTGCCCCGATAAAAAAACCCTACGGGAATAGGGTCGGGGATTAGGATGGGCATTCATTTCAAGTTCAGGGACGGGGCGAGCAACCGCCCCGAACCCGCCCGTTGCCATTCTTAGTCTTCAATCTTCTTTTCAACTTAGAATTTGACTGTCCCCATGTAGCTGTAAAATCTCATGGAATTGACGAGAGAAGCTTCATGTATTAAGACACATTCAATCAAAATTTACAGCTACGAGCATATTCATCTTATTGGTTAGGTTGTCGTTTTCTTTAATTAAATTATTCATACATCATCGTCGCATTACCTTATTTTTATTATTTATTGTGTATGAACATGCGACCCTATTTGTACATGAGTACCAATTACCATCATGAGCATATCATATTTATAATTAAATAGAATTTTTTCATATGATTTTATTCATCATTCTCATGTTGAAAAACAAATAGAGAAATTAAATTCTATGATTTTATTAATCATTTTTATGTTGAAAAACAAACATAGGCCATAACTTAAAATGTAATCATTTATGGAATGATATGAGGATCTTTTAATCTTCATTCAGCGGAAGGAGTGAGTTTTACATGATCTGAACTTTTAATTTAGATTTATGAAAGTAATATTTAATTTTTTCGAAGAAATTTATAAAGTGTCAATCGTCGGTTAATTAATCGGACTCCAACATTAATTTTATTCTTGAATCAAGATTTTTATCTTTTGTACTTTATCGAGAATACCTCGGATTCAAGGGAGATACAGTCATATCTAAAATGGTGACCTATATCTCTTCAATCGTAGGTTCAGACCTCCTTCTATGTAAGGTGATTTACATAATTAATATCCTATTAAGCTTACTAACACATATCTCGTGAGTCTTGCAGGTCGTATATCTCCCAAATCCGACGCACTCCAAATTTGTGAACTCGCCATGCACGAGGTCTTGACAAAATATATGAGAAAAAACTCCGAAAGGATAATTTTAATTACGAGGGATTCGATTAACTTTCCGATGAACAACAATTCACATACTTCTATTAAAGAAGTCTGAAGTTCCCTCAACAAGATATCAATTCATATTTAAATCCCTTTGTTACTATATTAGTGACTTACTGAGCCTACCACTATGAAAAAATAGTACGAGTTATACAAAATATAGTAACAAATAAATGATTGCATAATAAAAATGAACCCATCATAGTCAAGCCTTTTCCCTTCAGTATAATATATTTTTGATTTGTTCATCGACCCAATCAATCAAAACTGCAATTCCAGAGTATGTAATTGAAAACAAAACTTTTAAAGATGAAGAAACAATGACAGAGGATACGAAAGGTAAAGAAAGAAAAGAAGATGTGAAATATAGTTGGAGATTCTCATAATAACTTCATGCTTTTGCAATCCAACTTGTCCCCTAAAAGAGCCTCGTCGCCTTCTCTACTAATTAATTCAAGTCTTGTATCAGTCGGAAATTTGATATTAGGTCATTTGTCACATCAATAGTAGCTTAGTCCACTGTATTTTCAGAATTTGAATTAAAATTTTTAAATTTATATTATTAGAAAGAATAATTATAAATCTCAAACACTCTAGTAAAATGATAAAACAAAATATTGACAGACCTCCCTTCCCCATTTTATTTTATTAAATGAATGAAAGGACTTAATTAATGCTTCGTCTAGTTTACTCCTCACATGCTACAGTTGACCTTATCAACTTACCCTTGTCTCAGCACATACTGTATAGTCTCTCTTATTGTCATATTAATTTAAAAATATATAAGTTAAAATTATACCCCCCTCTATTATGCTTAAATTAGGTATTTAGTCTATTATATTTTAATTTGGTAAATTTTATCTCATTACTTTTACACTATCATTAGTTAGTCCTAATGGTTGGATAAAATATTAATGTTAACTATTTGCACTAACTAGTGACATTCTAAAAATATATCAAATCATGCCAAATTGAAGTGTAGAGGTTAATCTCAGATTTGAGTATAGTAACGGGACCAAAATTTTAATTTAATCTTAAATATAACAAAATAAGACTACAAAAAGGGAAGCCGAATTCTTTTTTTAATTAAGAAATGATGTCTCCGAAGGTGCTCTCTCTCTTGAGAGGGTCATAGATATTTACATTGGTAGAAAGAGAAGAAGAAGCAAAATTGAAGCAGTGATTATGGAGAAGTGAGGATTTGTCATCAAGCAGTTGGTATGATGAAATTTGAGGAGTAGTTGGCACAATAGGGTCATGCTGCATTTGGATGCAAACTATTTCAGCTTGAGCCATGGCTAGCTGCATTTGAAGCTCGGAAACCTGGTTCTGCAAATAAGATATGGCCCCTACACATCCATAAACAGGGTCTCTCACCCTTGCGTTTGCTTCATACACCAAACTACTCACTGCATCTGCCCTTTGCTGCACTGGAAGCTCCTGCATGATTTCAATATCTCAATCCATTACTAACTTTAAAGATAAAGGACCAAGTTGTTTAACTTCGAGATTGCAACAACTTAATTTAAGAAGAATATAGAGAGAGTTTTTTTGTATGAACCTGCAACATCTTGCTGACATTGCTAGCACCGAAAACCTTGTGAACAATGGCGAACTTGTGGGGGTCATCGGAAGGGAAATAAGGCGCAAAGACGCAGTCCTTGACGCAGCGGCGACGTAGCAACTTACAGGAAGCGCAAGGCGAGTTTCCTCCCATTTGTTTTGGGGAACCAATCAAAGTGTTTATGAGAGTTGATTTGTTGGTAAATAGATGAAGACAACTAGAAAGAAAAGGAGACAAGGAAATTAAGGTAAGGGTAGAACTTATCTGAGAGTAAAGTGGAAGCTTCGTTAAATTGGAATTGAAGAGGATGAGCTATGAGGGTACGCATATTTATAATGGCCCATGAACGTGTGTGCAAAAAAAATCAAACCAGGGTAACTCTCTTCCTTCTCTTCTTCCCCTTCCTTTTGTTTTTTAAGAAATAATAATGGGTGAACTACACAAATATCAATAAAACTATTGACTCAATTTTATATTGATCATTGAACTGAAAATTTTGTCAATTAGATCATTAGATTTTCAATTTGATTTCAATCAAACTATTTACAATTAACTGTCAATAGAATTATTCACATGATAGTTAAATATGTTTATATAATAACACATTTGATCATCATTAATTATATATTCTATCGATTTGGTCTTAATTTTAATTATAAACATGTTTAGAATTATTTTTATTGAATTATTAGAGATTAAGTTTATTGAATAATTTATAATTAAAATTAAGACTAAATTGATAGAATATGTAATTAATAAGGATCAAATGTATTTTTATTTTTTTTATTTTTTTTGAAAGATCATATATTTTATTTATTTTTTGAAAGATCAAAATATCATTGATAGAGGAACATTATACAAAACACGGACATTAGCAAAAGCCTCGTTATAAAACCTTCCTATTCTTAGATGGAGAAAAAAGAGTGCTATTTACTAATGTCAAAACGGGAATAAATCCTAAACACAACCACACGAAGGAAGCAGCCAACAAAATGCAAACCAGAGCTGCTAACAAAATGTAAACCAGCAAACGAGAACAAAGCAAGGCAAAACAGTTCACTAAAAACCAAACACTCAAGCACAAGAGGAATGGAACAAGAAGCAGGGAATCAATCAACCAATACCAGCCTTAGCAAGACGATCTGCAGCATCATTACATGCTCTCGGAACGAACTGGAGACTCTAAAGGTTGCTGCTGCAGAACTGATGTCAGAGGTGAACCAAACTGATAGAATATGTAAGTAACGAGCACTAAATATGTCATTATAAAAATTTGATTAACTGACATGTAATAATTCCATTAACAGTTAATGGTCGGTGACTTAATTAAGATCAAATTGAAAGCTATACATTTAATTTTCTTTTTCTAATTTAGTCATTTTAAATTCTTGTAAAGTAGTCATATTATTATTTTATCATTTGGGAGTTAAAATTGACATTACAAAATCCGAAAGAAAATAAAGTATAAGATCAAATCTCTATGAGCAAGTGTGTGCATATAATACAATTGTGTTATTAGCGTAATCCTTCGAAAATGTAACATCATATATACTTCATGACGAATTATTCCACATGAAGATCATTCTTCAACGATTCTCTATATATTCATATGACAAGAAAATCGATATATCACAATATAAAAGAGAGCCCGTGAGCAAAGTATTCATCAATCGTTATCACACAATAGTCTAGCCGGCTTTGCCATATCTATTGGTCCATTATTTAAAAGAAATACAAGTTCAATTTGGTTAGGTCATGCCTGTGTTGACCTAGTCAATTAACTTGTGATAATTTTTCTTTATATAATTTGTATCACCCCAAACCCGTACCCTATTCGGATACAAGTCTGATATGTCACATTAACTTTTCAAAACATTTACTTGTACAAAATAGTGAATAATTTTAAAACTTTCACCAAATAAGACTGGATAATTTACATAAATTATTTAGCGCATAGCGGATTCAAATTTTTTATTTACATGCCAACTACAATCAGTATTACAAAATACTTACTATTCAATTCTTTTCTGATCTGATCTTTGGAAAGAAGAAACTGACATGTCTTGCTTAACTTTTATAATTCTACTTCTTCTCGAAACCTACGTGTGAAACAATCACACTCTAAGTCGTTGACTTAGTGAGGCATATAAAACATATAATAGAAATCATAGAACATTTCATATAACATAATGCATACATGTACATATGCTATCATTATCAACATCAACATCATTATCATGATACCATAATCATTAACATCAACATCAATATCATGATCTCTATCATTATCATTAACTCATTTAAAACATGTTATCTTGTACTTACCAATTGTAACATATCGTATAATACATTTCATCCAACAATACACACAGTATCACATATAAATCATGTAATGTATTTCATATAACCAAGCATATACATCACATGCAGTGTATTTATGTTATCACTTTAATAGTCAATGTATTATTCCATGTATACTTTTGATATCTTTTGTAGGCCCATATACAGTACTGATATCTTTTATAATCACATGTATTAATATTGAGATCTTTTATACGCCCATGTATTAACCCATGTACAGTACTGATAACTTAAGGTATGTGAGTACTCTGAGGTTGTGCACACATATGCTGGCTCCACATCTTATATAGTGTCCCATTAGGGCACGTAAAAATTATCCCGAAGGATCTCGTATATGTCCCGAAGGACCACTCCTTAAGAATCACATATATATTCCAAAGGACCAAATATGTGTCCCGAAGAACCACATATATTTTCCAAAGGATTACATATATATCCCGAATGACCACATAGAACTATTTACTCTTGTATGTCCCGAAGGACCTATCATCCCAAAGGATGTTATCTGTGTCCCGTAGGATCACTCCTTAAGAACCATATACATATTTCAATGGACCAAATAAGAATATCAAAGTACCGCATATATGTTTCAGAGGATTACATATATATCCCGAAGGACCACGTAGAACCCTGGACACTTGGCATGCCAACTATACCACTAGCTCTCATATCACATAACATGGGCATTATCATTTATTACTGTTCACATCACTTGTATCATTCTTGTATGATCTCATAGATCATTATGTAACATTCTTGTATGATCTCATAAATCCTTGTCATATAAACCATATCACATAGGTTAATATCATAGAGAAAATCGCCTCAGTGACCAAAAAAAAAGTTATAATATACGATTTTAACCAACTTTTTTTGGATTTGCCAAAATGACCAACAAAATCGCAACGCGAAATAAAAATCGCAACGCGATCCCCAGAATCGCAAATCAGTTTCCAGAATCGCAAATCAGTTTCCAAAATCGCAACGCGATTCTTGAAAATCGCGATGCGATAGTACAAATTCGCATTGCGATTTTCCATAATCGCAACGCGAATATGAAAATCGCAACGCAAACACATAAATCGCAACGCGTATCCGTAAATCGCAACGTGTATCCGTAAATCGCAACGCGTATGGGTAAATCGCAATGCGTATCCGTATATCGCAACGCGTATCCGTAAATCGCAACGATAATACATAAAATCGCAACGCGTATCCGTAAATCGCAACGCGATATTTAAAGCGCCATTATAATCGCTACGCGTATTTTATTTTCAAATTACAAAAAGAATATTAAGACAAAATCCCGTAATCGCAACTCATAACCTAAAAACCTAAAATCACAACTCAGTCCCATCTCCATCTCTCACTCTCTACGGCGAAGAAATCCGTCCCCATCTCCGAAGATTTCCGTCCCCATCTCCGGCGAAATCCCTCACAACCATTCACGGTCAGAAATCCCTCACAATATTCAGAAATGGAAAATCAACCTCCGAGGGTTAGTTTTTTTAATTATTTTTATTTTGAAATGTTTGCATTATTGTAGGTTTTTCATATTGAAACTGATGATAAGTTTACTGGTCATTTCAATAATAGATTAACCATTTCACTTAGATTTCATTTCGCGTTACGATTCTGTCGTTGCGATTTTCATTTCGCGTTGCTATTCTCTCGTTGCGATTTTCAAGTTAGTATTTGTCTTTGTCTTTGTTCTGTCTTTTGGTTGAAGTAATGCAATCCATTCAAGTTTCAATTTGCAGAAGAGTCGCAACGAGATAAATGAAAATCGCAACGAGAGAATGACAATCGCAACGAAAGAATCGCAACGCGAAATGAAAATCGCAACGAGAGAATCGCAACGCGAAACCAAAATCGCATTGCGATTTTCATTTCGCGTTGCGATTCTCTCGTTGCGATTTTCATTTCGCGTTGCGATTCTCTCGTTGCGATTGTCATCTCGCGTTGCGATTCTCTCGTTGCGATTTTCATTTCAACCAAAAGACAAAACAGTGTTGCAAATTTTAGTTTCAAGAATAAACTACTACTTTTTATGTTTATTGTTTTTGGTATATCTTCACAGTGTAGTTTTTGGTATATCTAACTTGGTATGTTTATTGTTTTTGTAGAAATTTTTTTCGGCTCAATTGACCTTGAGAAATAAAGTCAGCCTGGCCACTACAATTGCAAAGAAGCTTTCACCTGCTCAAAGACAATTGTTTGAGGAAACCTGCTTCGGGCCATGGCTGAGAGTACAGCATCCGGGTGGAGATGCTAATTTGACCCATTTGTGGCTTCAGACCATGACATCAAATCTACCCGACAGTATACAACGTGGTGAGGAAGAGATATGGTTTCATTTTCCACCAGTGTATACTTGCTTTGGGCGGAAGGAGTTCTGCTTAATCACTGGTCTACGATTCGGACACGATGATGTAGGCTGGTACACTCGTCATATCGCCCGCCCATCATATAGATCGTATCATATAGCTTATATCATTTATCATGTTTTCATATAAACACGTATGTCATATTTTATTCTTATATGTTCACATCAATAATGTCACATAAAATAATATGTCAGACATATCACATAGTTGATATCATATTTTCATATATTCATGTAATTTAGTATCACATATCGCATTTAAATCAACAATTCTTTTAAACTTTCAAAATGGTCATATTGCACATATAAATGCTCATTTCAATCCCAAAACAACAATTTCCACCGTAGTACATCAACTATTAGACAATTATACAACCATTCCCAAATTTTCCAAAATTAACAAATTGGTCCCCCAACTTTTCAAAAATAACAGAATGGTC